CTGTCTTGCAGGCCTCCCAGCCGTGGTGACATTAACTGCGTACTGCCCAGATGTCACAACCGACGATATTCCCATAGAAGAAGCGTTGAGGCAGCTGGAGATCTTGGGGGCCGATGTCGTCGGGCTCAACTGCGGCCGGGGTCCAGAGACAATGATGCCTTTGTTGAAAAAGGCTCGAAAGATATGTAAGGTTAGTAAATGTGGTGGGTGGCTGGCGGGCGCTCTTTTTGTGGTTTGCTCCTTCTCTCCTATCAAATTTGACGTCAAAGATTTTGCATTTCACACAATGTCAAGCTTTATGTAATGCAATTCTTTGAAAACCTTGATAACGACTCCACATAATTGACGGTTTTGATAGAGCAGAGAGATCTAGAACATTTGGTTTTTGACGTCACGGTCTTGGTAACTGAAAACAGCCAAAAATGTCAGACAGAACTTTGTAAATCTGAGGTAGCGAAATACTTATCATCGTTATCTCCCTTTCTTCTTTCCAATGTATGTTAGTGGGTGGTTAGCGGGCGGTCTGGTGTGGTTTCCTACTTCTCTCCTATTAAACGTATATCGCTCTCCTTCTCTCGTATCAAACGTTTATCGTCGTTATCTCTTTTTTCTTTCTTTTCTGTGTAAGTTAGTGAATGGTTGGCTGGCGCTCTTGTGAGGTTTGCTCCATGTCTCGTATAAAGCGTCTGTCGTTGTTATCTCTCTTTCTTCTCTCCGTGTATGTTACTGTCTACCAACACCTCTATTCTTTCTGTTTACCTTTTCAGGCCTCTGTTGCCTTTTTAGGGTGTACAGAGGAGAAGCAAACGCCTTTCACTTGTTTACTACTTCACCTTTTACATGGTTATGTTGTTCTTGAGAAATATTTATCTAACCTCCTTTATTCGTCTTGTCCTGGTCCTGCCCCTTCCTCTGTTTTCATCTTATCTCTGGTTGTACGTTCTCGTTGCTCTTTTGTTTGGTTGTACATGTAAGCTTGACATATGCCCAAATAATTGAAATCGTTGTTTATTTATGTATTTTAAAAAAGGGAGGTGCGCCAACTTGTTCTCTGTTAGTCTCGCGCTGCCCCTTCTTCTGACATTCAAGTCCCCTTCCCTTTTCTAATCCATGATATTCTTGGCCCTGCCTGCATCAAAGACCTAAAATTATCATAGATCGTGCACGTTAAGGTAATTCCGATTCACTATGGAGCGCACAACTGAACTTAATTTGGAATCAACCTAGCGAACGTTA